ATTTTTAATTAATCATTTTAATAAAAAAGAAAATCATAATGCTCTATTGGTATTGGAAGATGTTTATGATAAACATTTTATAGACGCGTTTGATTTTAAATGCAAAACACTTGTAATAACTACTGATTTAGATGTTTTGGATGAAAGAAGAGGAATCGTGATTAAGGTTAATATATATATAATTATATACAGTTAAAATTATTGTTATAAAATAAAAGTTAATATAATAATAGTTAATACAGTAATATTACATTATCTGTTATAAAAGAAAGTTACATTTCTTAATTGTATATTATACTTAAAACAATATTATTATTATTATTATTATTTAGATGGATGATGGCTTTACAGAAGCAGAAACTTTAGGTTTATTTGCTAAAGTATTAGATACAACTGTAGATCAACTTCCATTAGAAGCAAAATTAATTCATAAAGAGTGCAAAGGTATGCCATTACTTATTGCCATGTTTTCAGCTAATTTTGAAGAATTTAAACATGATATGAACAAACGTAACGATAGATGGCAATATTATTTAAAATGCATACAAAATAAAGATAGAGAAAATACGTGAGTATTATTAATTATGAATATGATTAAATAATAATGAAAAACTGAATCACACAAACAAATAATGAACAATTTTTATTTAAGGATAATGAACAAATTTTTGGAAAAACAAGAAGCTGTATTTAACATGTCTATCGAACGTTTATCACCATATTTGAAAGAATGTTATGAAAAGTTAGCAATTTTTAGCGAAGATGTTAATATAACATCAAAGGTAACGATTACTTTCTTCTTTTTTTTTTTTTTTTTTACTATACAATATTATTAATCCTTTCAATACTACCATTGACCATAATCATCCAATTTCATATAACAAAAGCTGTATTGAAAGGATCAAAATAAAACCTGACCAACTTATGTTATATGTATAATTAATACATTATTATTTATTCATTTTTTATAAACAGACTTTAGAAGTTTTATGGTCACGCAATTTATTTGAAGTTGAAGAAATGATGTTAGTATTGTGCCATAAATCCCTTGCAGCCATGAGATGGAATGCTAATTTAGATTGTTATATATATGGAGTACATGATCTCTTATTGTGCCACTTAAGAAGAAAATTAGGGACAAATAAACTTACGCAAATGCATAAATCTTTTATCGAAAGTTATCGTAAATATTGTAACAATGACTTTTCTAAACTGCCAAATGATAATTACAGTTATTCTTACATTGGTCATCATTTAGAATTAGCCAAAATGTACGATGAATTTCCCAGACTGTATTTAAACTTTAACTTTCTCGAAGCTAAATTAAACCACACTGGTTTATGCGATCTGTTAATTGATTTTAACAAATATAAAAAATATATTATTAACGGTGATGATGATAAAAGTGATAATGTAAATGATTTAGAAAAATTTTTACAAGAGCAAGCCAATAATATATCGAAACACAGGAGAAAGCAATGTTTAGATTTAATACAAATTGCCATGAATCATTTTCGTCCTGGATATGTGGTCAATACTGCAACAAGTATTGCTGAGAAAAGAAGAAACAATTTATATTTATCGCAAAGTACAATATTGCAAAAGAATAATATAACAGAAAGTGAAGAGGTTTGTACAGAGACTAGTACAACTTGTTTCACCGATGATCCGGATGTCATTTTAATTGGAAATAAAATAGGTGAAGTAATCCAATGGCATTCAGAACATAAGAAACAAATAGTATACAAAGTATGTGAGAAAGATAGTATAATCGAAAAGATAGTAGTCTCGAAAAATGGAGAATACTTTTTAACATTGTGTAACAGTATTGTGAAATTTTTTAAATTATACAGCAATGATTATTATAACAAACTCGACGTACATATACAAAGTCCAAAACAAAAGCAAGCCTATTGGGATAGTCTTTATTCAAAAGATGGATATAACAGTTTAAAAACATTTTCAATTGATAATGAAACTATAACTGATATAACATTTGGACATGACGATCAACGTATTGCAGCATGCACTGACAAAGGAACTATTCAGGTACATCAATTGTACCTGACTGTATTGTAATATCATATAATTATGTTATCTAAAATGTTAATAATTATAATTAATTATTTTTTTTTTTTCAACAGGTTTGGGATACACATGGAAATGTTTTAACAAGTGTTAATCACAAGTTTAAGTAAGTAATTGTTACATTATATATATATATTTTTTTTATAAATAATAAATAATTAGTTAAACGTAGATTAAACGATTTCTATATTGTTTTTTTGGTAAATAAATTTTATTAATATATATTACAGTAATCTTGGATTTATCACATTTACAACAAAAAGCTCACTGTTACATACAATGGATTTAACGAATGGTGTTCTCGTAACTTTTAGAAGAGATATGAATGATGATTACAGCTATAGTTCGCAATATAATCCACATTTATTAAAACAAAAAGTCATCTTTTTTCACAATGTTCCGAAACATGACAATTCGTTAATTATAGTCACTGAGAAGAAAGTTATTCATGTTAAATGGTTTTGTCCGCCTACTGAATTCATAAGTAATTATGAAAAAAAGGCAAAAGCTGAAAATGATAAAACAGTTTACGTGTGTGCTTCCATAACATATGATGGACTTTATTTAGTATTATCAGATTCAGAAGGTCTCGTAAATGTTTGGAAAATAGATGGTGGATTTCATCCAATTGCAGTATATAAAAGTCGTGTTGCATCTTTAGATACATATTGGTTAAATAAAGAAGGTTATCACTATGTAAGAAATATTTTTAATTATTATTATTAATTGTCTTATGATATAATTTCTATTATACATGTAATTATATCAATTTTGTTCTTTCTAGATTTGCGGTAATGAAAATAATTTAGTTCATAAATGGAAGTTCCCTGTAGAAGAAGCATCCGATACTCAAGTCAGGTATAAGAAAACATATTTTCAATTAATATTATTTATTATTTTATTTATTAAATTGATGAAACAATAATTAATCATTTATTAATTTATTAATTTATTTAGAAGCCTACTGTTTGATGCTCTTGTAAAACCATTAGGAGAAGCAGATTTAATTGCAAAAACGACAAATGTGAATTCAGTAGTAATATTATTTGACAATATAGTCGTAGCAGAATTTAATCCTATTGATGGAGATATAATAAGTTTAAAACTTTCTCCCAATGGTAAGAGACTTATTTACGTAACAAAACAAAGCAACAAAGGAATGGTTAAATTATTGGATATAGAAAGTAAGACAACTACTAATATATTGAAGTTATCTGGAGGTGCAGAGTTTATAAAGTTTTTAACTATTGATGGTGACGAAGTTATCATATTCAAAGAGTCAAATGATACTTTAAGAGTAAGCAACTTTTAAATATATTAAACAATTTGAATTAATTTTATTTAAATAAGAAATAATACATTTTTATTAATAGGTTTGGAAGAACAATAAAATATCATATTTGATTGAAAATTCAGGATCCATTATTTCAATTCATGATGTACATAACGAATATGTTATAACAGTAACTCAAAATGGTGTGATAACTCTTTACAATATCAGTGGTACTAAATGGACAATAATAAGTAGAGCAAAGGTTGATGGTGCAACTGTAAACATATATTTCAGTTGCTTCAGCCATAAAAAACAATTTTTGGCAATGTTGAGTAATAATCAAGATTTATTTTTGTATAATCTACAAGAAGATGATACTGTAACTCCACGGTGTATAATAATAGGATTACATTATAGAAAATCGTTTAAAGAAAAACCAACATATTGTGATATTTCGCATGATCAAAAATATTTGGCAATTGGATTCAAAACAGGAAGTATTGCAGTAAGTAATAATTATTGATTAATAATATCTCTATAAAACATATTATTTGTACAAAATTATACAAATTTGTATTATTTTTTTTTTTTTTTTTGTAGATAATCGACATAGAAAATCAAAGAGTTTTGCGAACACTCTATTATCATACTAGTGCAATTACCCAATTAAATTGGGCACCAGTTACCACTGAAATTCCTCTCCTAATGTCATTAAATGGAGATGAATTAGCTTGGTGGAATGTTCAATTGACTGATTGCAGTACACTAAAAAAGCGTCGAAGTCGTTACGGCTTAGTACGTAGCACCAGTACACCTTCAACTAGTACTCATTCAGATTTCTCATCTTTTAACAATAATGACGTTGATATATCGTCCCTTCATGTATCAAATTCATCAACTGGAATATTAGAAAAGTATGATGAAGAATTAAATAAATGTGAAGATTTAACTTCATATTGGAAATGCAAAGTAGGAAGAAATAGTAAAAAACCAGAATTATTGGGTTCTCTTGAACTACCACCAAGTTGTATTCCAAAGGTATGTATATCCCCAGATTTTAGTAAATTTGTTACTGTCGACATTTATGGATCAGTTAGTACTTTCAAACTATTTGAATATTTTTTTGTTAAGTAGTGCAATGATATAGATTTTTGTTATATAAAAAATGGTGCTAATTTTATGCATTTACATACACATATCATTTTTCTATTAATGAGAATATTATTGTTAATGTTTGAAAAAAAAAAGACATTAATCTACGTCAAATGATAACATCATAATGATATCAAGTTTTTTTTTTTTTTTTATACTACGATTATATACAAATTTGACGTTTTATAATTGCAATGTTATCATTTAGCATCATTTTTGTTTTAACTGTAAATGCAATTTCTTCAGTTTCTCGTTGATCAACTTGTTTTTACTATAACTGCAATATTATATTTCCTTTCAAAACTAGTTATATTTCTATTCTATAAAATAGTATTTTTTTTTATTGTTAACCCTTTGCACTCGAGGTCCTTTTTTCATTTGCACTAAAACCACAGCAACTCGAGCAACAATTTTGGGCCAAATTAGGGAAACATTTGACAAATGTTGATTGAAATATGACTTTAAAAGTCATTTATAAACAAACAAACAAACAAACGTATACAAATTAATCAAATTTCATCAATTGATTTATTTTAATATCAAAAAACAAGAAAATTTGTGAAATATTATAATCTGTAATTAGTTTTTGTTAAACAATAGCCAAGATGTATCCTAGGTGTTTATCAGAAACACGTATCACATTAATATGTTACTTCCGGCCTATCTTCAGGTTTATTACGATCAGAGTAAACCATACAGACCCTTTTTCAACCCTTTAAATATTTAGAGTAACAAAAGATTTCAAATCAGCCATCGAATGCCGTATTCAGTGCCTTTCGAGTTGCCACTTAAATCTGCCTGCCAGGCGCCGTATCAGCGCCATTCGAGTGCAAAGGTTTAATATCTTTAAGTAGATCATTTTTTTTTTGTTTTTTTTTACAAGATATACATTAAAATAAGATTTTTATAACTAAGCTGGACAAGTTGCTTAATGATTTGAGAAGGAATTCATAGCAATGATAGCAAAATTTATATTATATAAGATTAAAAAATATTCACATGACTATGAATTTTTACATTTTAAGACTAAAAAAAAAAGACTATTATTGATTTGCATTTATTACTTGCATTTATTACTTATAAGATGTTAACGTCACTACCAACTGCATTTATCTTATTAAATATATAATTTTTATATATATATATTATATATATTAATCTAAAAGAGAACAAGATTGCACTCCGATTTTACATAAGAGAGAAAATACAAATTTTCAATTAGTTTTACGTAAAAACATTTTTTCAAAATTGTCAGATTTTTTTTTTCTTTTTTATATATATATATATATACATATAAATACTTTTTATTAGTATATATTTGAAAAAATATTATTTTTATTCTAAGATCTATTCGTGTGATATTCATTTGATCTTGTGAACATTTACAAATTAACGTCAATTCATTGACAAATTGATTTACGCTTATATTCTTTGTTTGTAGTCTCAGATTATCATACGTGATTTATTAATAATTAAATAAAAATTGGAAATTTCATTGACAACAACAAAAAAATTTCTAATAAAATATAATATATATATTTATTATATATATATATATATATATATATATATATATATATATATATATTATATGAAATGTCGGACCAAAAAAAAATTTCATAATGTATTTAAGAAATTTCTGTTCTCTTTAAAAAATATCGTCTTTTTTTTATTAAGGACTAGAATAATTAATAGATGAATAAGTTTTTAATCTATTATTATTATACAACGATAATTTAAAAAAAAAAAAAAAAATTACCTTCCAATATTATAAATATTACTACACAATAATGAGATAAAGTGCAATTGATATTTATTAATGAAAGATTTATTTTTTAACCACAGAAAAAAAAAAGAAGTTTTTTAAGACTTATATAATATTGTTTTAAAAACTTGTATTTTTGATACTTAAAGCAAACTTTGATTTCAATTAAGAAAATTAGATTTAATAATTATTTCTTTTTACATGCACAAAATTATCTCCAAAAGTTATATTTGTATACAAGGAAGGTTTTTTAAAACTAGTAGTATTATTTAATCTTTGATAAGTAATTAATCAGAAGAATCCTTTTTTTTTTTTATTTTTACTTTTATAATAACATACATTTATTATTGTAGTTTTATACGAGATTTTTATACTTATTTGATGATGATATTTTTTTTCATATGTTAGTTGAAATAACAAATTTTACGATTGATCTCTGAAAACAAAATGTTGTTACTAAATGTACTGATTTACAAAAGTGATAATTGTTTGTAATTGTTTTTTACACGTGCCTTCTTCTAATATGCGCACATGTAAAAAAAAAGATATTAGAAAATTTACAAGCGTCGCATATATTTATATGTATAAGAATTTAAATGAAAGTAAAATAATAAAGGAAAATATTTCATTAATAACATATATCTTCTTCTTTTTCTTCTAAACTACGTGTCACGTTGTTTGTTCACAATGGACTGGAAGTGTATCAATATTTTTTAATAATAATAACATATTTATTACATCCTCGTCTGAAATTAGATAATTTTTAATTTAATAATATTAATATTTAATATATATTATTAAAAAAATAATAATAATATTTGATATTGTATTGTACTTGATATATAACCTAAAATTATTTTCGTAGAATTTAAATTTCGCTCTTTGCGCATGCGCAATGGCATGAGAGTTTCTCTCATCACGATAGTAACGACCACGGAATGTTTGGGAACCAAAGCGTAACTCCCTACTCACTCCGACAGATAGCGCAACGGTCGTCGCTGCCAACTGTGGTAGGAACAAAATGTGCTCAGGATTTTTCCCCGAGCCACTCTTCGTATCTTATGATATCCCATAATTTAAATGTTCAATCTCACAAGTACACACAAGGAGCGAAAAAACCGTAACGATAAAACGTAATATTGTCAAAGAATATAAAATTATATAGAACATTTGTTATTTGGTAAGACAAGTTGTCTTGTCGATAACTTACCGACCAAAAGAAAGTAAATTATCGACAGAGAAATTCATTGCTATTGTAGAAGCAAAGAATATTCTTTGATGATATCTATGAAGATGAAATATGAGAAAAAGTGGACTTCTGATGTTTTATATAATTCTATATTTTATTTTATATTTAAATATATCTCACACCGATGATGCCTATACGAGATGTAAAAAATTTATATTCTTTTCAAAACCTAAAGTTTTTTATATCTTGTTCAACAAAAAACATATCTATATATATATTCTTTCTAATCATATATAGAAAAATTAATAAAAAAGAAGATAAACAAATGATTCACCAAGTAGGATTGTGAATCATGTTGAACCATGATATATATTTTTTATTCTCCACCTCATAACTCTCTCGTATAAATTTTAATAAAAAACCAAAATATATTTTCATTCTGATTTATTAAAAATTTTATTTTGAAATTTATTTACAAATATATATATATATATACAGAAAAAATGAATTTCCTTGTAAAATTATATTTTGAAAAATCAGGTCATAGGAAAATATTCATATTGCTTTAACAGCAACATCAGCGCCACTAGTGGACAACGCAAGCATCACGTAAACTGATGGTTCGTGTTTGAACTTGCCATCCCACTCCTTTTCCTCTCACCTTCTCCTTGTCTATCACTACATCTCTCTTTCTCTTTCTATCTATCGTTCTATCCTTCTCTCTCTCTCTCTTTCTCTTTCATCTTTCTCTCTCTGTCTTCCACACACTATCTCTCTCTTTCTCTCTCCTTCCATCCCGGAGTGCATAGAAGCTTTGTTTCTAGTATTGTTGATGATATTAACTGTACCAACGAAGTCTTCTTTCTTTTCGTACGTATTATTATTAATTATTCGACATATTTCATTTCTTTGTTATATATATATATATATAAATATCTTTTTAGTAAAATAATACTTTATTGTTTTTTTTTTATTGCATTTCTTTAGATTTCATTACCAACGACAGAACGTACCTGACACTTCAAGAAAACTGCTGTTCTGATTTTACACACATATTTCCATTTGTTTCTCATTCATCATCAACATACGTTAATAATCTTTTTTACAAAATCTGAATTATATTAAAAGAAAAGATACATAAAAACAAGATATATAAGAATTTCATTTTGACAAATTACACTTGACATTATAAGGAACATAATCAACTAAGAAGTAAACATAGCACACATCATTAAATTGGTAAGTTATCTTTTTCTCTTTGTTAAATATATAAATTGTTAAAACTCGTGATATTTATTTGTTAATGCTTAAACAATAATATATATTATACAAATGTCAATTTAATTAAATTGACATTTGATGTTTGTATAATGTCATATACAAAGATTTAAAATAGATCAAAAATGTGACTTATTTTTTGTTTCTTATTTCATAGATATTTGAAAATCTTCATAAATTTAACATTAATAAAAGTAATAAGTCAATAAATTAATATGACAGATGTCATTGAACATGCAGGTTTCTCAAAGAATTCAATGTCATTCAAATCTACTGAAAATACACATGTAATGTCATCAGTATCACAACAATTAGAGCCAGGAGTTGATGAAGTTGATCATCCGGATTATCGATTTGAATTGGTTAGATTACAGAGCTTTCAAAATAATTGGACTGTTACATTTGTCGAACCAAAACTACTAGCAACAGCTGGTTTTTATTATGTGGGCAAAGCTAATACAGTGAGATGTTTCGAATGTTTAACAGAAATACATCAATGGGAACAAGGTGTTTGTATATTAGATCAACATTCGCAAACATGTCGTTTTGCTAGAAATTTACCATGTGGTAATGTACCTATCGATGTGGATACTAACACAGTATCATCAGTATCAAGATCAAATACTCAAGATGTTTGCGAATTGAATGATACAACATTTCAAAATGAATCTGTTCAAAGTGAATGCGATGCAATATCATCTTTGGAATTACAATTTCCAACAACTACCAAGTTAGCATCGTTAGGACTTGAAAAACCAAAGCCACCGGTACATCCAGAATATATAAGTTATGATGCTAGACTACGTACTTTTGATACCTGGCCTAAATCAATGCCACAGAAGAAAGATCAACTAGCGAATGCTGGATTTTTCTATATAGGAAAAGGTGATCAAACATTGTGTTATCATTGTGGTGAAGGATTGGAAGATTGGGAACCTCAGGATGATCCATGGGAACAACATGCCAAATGGTTCTCCAAATGTTATTATTTGTTAATGGTGAAAGGACAAGAATTTGTGAATATGATAAAGGAACGAGAGGTATTATTATCTTTTAATAATTATATACTAAAATGAAATTTGTAATTATAAATTTGAATGGCTATTTTTTTCTTTTCTTTTAGGAAACAATGCAGATGAATTTACCAATGTTTGTTGACAAAATTCAATCATCTTCAAACGGACAGATTTCGAATGGCACAAAATATGACAACTCAAATAACAATTTAGAGATTAAAGATTCAGCTAAATTAAATTCTAGTGCAAGTTCCAGTGAAGATAGCTCAAAAATGTTACATGGTACTACAACAAAGCCGAATAAATCCATAGACAGTGCAAGATTGTGTAAAATCTGTTACGATTCAGAACTAGGTGTAGTATTTCTACCCTGTCGACACATGGTTACATGCGTTAAATGTGCACCTGCTATGACAATATGTGCAGTTTGTCGACAACCGGTAAAATTAACATTAAGAGCTATTCTTTCTTAATCTATAATAATTGACAAAAAAAAAAGAAAAAAGAAAACAAACAAATCATAACAACAATTAGCTCAGTTCTTATTCTGAAAATTTTGACAACACTTAACATATATCAATATTTCTTTTTTTTTTTTTTTTTTTCTTTATGCATTCCAACAAATAAACAACACTGTGAATATGTGCAAAAAAAAAAAAGAAAAAATAACTAGCAATTTAATCACACGGATTTAACTGAAACTCCTAATACTTTTTTCAAATAATATATCTTTCGTTTTAATAATGAATATATTCGAAAAATGTAAGATGTAAATATGCAAATGTATAATTAGTGTGTATTACAAAATATTATGTGATTTCAAATGGTATGTTACATTTATATTATAGTTTAAAATCCACGAATTTATGATTTGTGAATTAAATAATATTAGGAAATAGTTTATATATATATATATTTCCTTTTTTTTTATACCAACTGTACAATGGAAAACAAATATGAATGATAACATTTGAATTTGTTTAGCTTAAAAGATCAGTTAAAATAAATACTGTAATTTCTACAAGCACATTGATCAATAAGTCAGATAACACACACAATGACGATATTACTGAAAAATTTAACATACAGAATGACAAAAGTTATTTATTGATAACCTCGCCTAAGTGTAATAATACAGCTTGGCACACAACGGTATTTCTAATTCTAAACTCTAGGCCAGTGCCAGTATGACGTAGACAGCAAGGTCAATCATTGATACTTTGTTCCTAATCAATTAGTAAATACGCGATATCTTTCTTCCTATATAAAAGCTCATATATAATCCATACAGTAAAATATGTTGAATTTTTACTCGTTTATATTCAAACTCAATGTGTTATATAATTTGTCAGCATATGTCGTGTTGCAAGCTATACAGATTATAATCAAAGAATGTAATTTGGTCTGTTATCATCAATGCTGTGTCACGAATATTAATTCGTTTTTTTTTATTTTTTTTTATCTATATTAATTAAATGTAAATTCAACAAATACAAAAGTATTTTTTGTTTAAAAATTTAATTATAAAGAAAAATAAATCAAATGTTAGTAATGTTAGAACAAGAGAATAAAAAACGAAATTTATATGATGAAAAAGAAGAGTAATGTTTTATAAAGAAAAAAAAAAATAAATAATATTATTAGTTATTAATAATATAAATATAATATATATTAATTTAACATATATTATAATTTATAATATTATTATATTATAAATTATAAATATTATAATATATATTAAAAAAATAAATAATATTAATTAGAAGATAATTGAATATATTTTTTAAAGAGATTAATTTGTTAATAAATTTTGGCATAAACAAAACGAATTATAAAATAAAATATAAATAAATGTCATGTCGAGTTTGCGCTGTTATAATTGCGCGATCGTCTTTAAGGTTACGACCTAGGACGCGCAAAATATTGAGTGGGATGGGGTGGGGTGAAGTGAAGTGAATAGAAGTGGTGGGGTGGGGATACGTGTAAGCATCAGGGCGGGGGTAAGCGAGCGCGCCACTTCGTGCTGGGACGCCGGCTTGAGTGCATTGTCTCTACCCACATCGGGATTTTATTTTACCTAATGTTTTTTTCTTTTCTTCTTTACGTTCAAAACAAAATAACGTTTTTTTTATAGATCTATCAAGTTAACGTAATTATTTATAAAATCATGTCGGTTGTATACAAAAATACAATTAAAGCTATTGGAAAATGTGTGCCTGACAAATTTCAACCATTTTGGAATCATCCAGCCGGTTAGTAAAGTGTCCTTTTCCTTCCTTTCTATTTCCCCCTAAAGAATTCCCATACGTTTAACATACAACCTTGTGGAATGTGAACACGTGGTTACTACTTCACTTTATATACATGTATATATATATATACATATATATTTATTAGTATTGTATCGTATTATTTAAACATACATCGAGAGTTGCATTGATTTACCTCGTTGAACAACTTTATATTATTGAAATAAAAATAAAATAGTGTTTAAATGTGTCGTCAGTGGTTTTATATGTATTAGTCATTATGAAGTGTACGAGGAAGAAAATTATAATACTAATAGTGATGTTGCAATCGTTACTCGTGGTAATATACATGATTTATTAATACTTTGTTTTTACAGTTGTTATTCTTTTTTAGAAAAATACATCAAATTATAATGAAAGTTTTATTTTTGTATATATATACAAATAATTAAATACAACTCATTACAGTGTTTAATTATTTATTTCATTATTTATGTATAAATGTAATATTTCGTTTCGATATTTTCTCTCGAAGTATACAATCGACCTTTCGGATTGTGAGAATTGCTGCAGCAGTGAGAAAAGTAGATCAATGCAACGCCAAGATTGTCTCGTATTAAAATCAAAATTGAGTTTCTAGTACAAGGGAAACAATGTTTTTTTTTTATGATAATTAATTATCAATGATATATTAAATTTAATCAAGGACAACAAATGTACACTCAATTTTGTAAATGTGTTAAGTATTGCAAAATAATTTATTATCATCGTACGAAATATTTCGAAAAATATGGAAGATCTGTTACGAAATTTCAAACTTGTTACGAAATATCAATGTGTTCCTTTTTTTTTTCTTTTTTTCCTTTCGACAAAAATAATATTGCAATAATTTTGTCTTCGTTCAAATATTTATTTTACGATTTTACAAGTCAACATATTCGTAACGTTTGTTCTTTTCAAGCTGCCTACAAAAAGCTGTCTCGTTCAAGATGTCTTCGATAATAAGTATCCATGGGATTTGCTTTCAGGACCACAGACCATATTTTTCTGGGCACCGGCAGTTAAATGGGTTAGTAGAAAAAAAACAAAAAACAACACAAACAACAAAATAAAACTTATTACAAAATTGTGATAATTCTTCATTGGAAATAGAAAGTTATCTGGAGGGTGGGAGGGAGAGAGGGATGATGGGTGACTTGAACTTTATCGATGGTTATTACCCAAGACAGATAATGCTTTCTAATCCATACTCCATGAATAAATGGTACACTAAGTCTAGATTGTCAATTTTGATTAATCAAAATATTTAAATAAATAAATAATATTATTAATTTGTTATTAATATTTAAATAACATTTTTAAATTAATATTTAAATAAAAATAAAAAGAGAAATCCCCTCGGCATAACAGAATTGTTGAACAAAATAAAAAAATATCGAGTACATATCAAATAATTTCTTTTAATTAACAAATAAAAATAATTTATTTAAATTAATGTAATTAAAATTAAATGAATTTTAATTGAAAAAAATTATTTTAATAAAATAAACAATTAAAAATCTTACATAAAAAAACAATTTAATTAATTGAATAATTGTAATTCATCAAATTAAATGAATTTTCATTGACAAAATTATTTTAATAAAATAAATAATTAAATTTCATGTTAAAATTCATTTCAATTAAATTAACAAAAATTAACAAATATTTTCTTTGACGATTAGTTGACACTTGTCTTTTTTTACACAGTGCATCGATAAATTTGTTTGAAATATAAATACAATACAGATATATAATAAATATAATAGATGATTATATATATATATATATATATATATATATATATATATATACATGAAAGTTTTGATTTACAACACACACGTTTTATTTAATCCGCATTCTAGATCAACTTTACAATTAATATGTAAAATCAAATTGATCTTTATTCAAGGTAACAACAGTTGATTATATATTTGCAATATATATCCTTCTATAGATAAGATAATAGAGAAACTATAATTCTCCAGATATTATTACAGTTTTATAGAGTCTTGTGTTTAGAAAGCAAACAAAAAAAGTTATCTTTATCTAGTCATAGATGTTTACTTTTAATTTTAGAAAATCATTCGATTCTCATTCTTTTTTCTTATTATAAAACAATATCGATAAGCTCGTTCTTTTGCACATGCGTACATTATCAATTATCCCTAACACACGTTTAAAGTTATTAACGTTGTATAATATCTTGTTGTGTTTAAACAAATAAATAAAAATTAAAATTATAATTAAAATTAAAATCAATCTCATTAAGAACACAAACAAAGAGACAGAGACACAGAGAGAGAGAGAGAGAGAGAGAGAGAGAGAGAGAGAGAATTAAATTTCTTCTTTGACTTTCTTTTTTTTACATTCATTGAGATATACCGCGCATGTTCGTATTAAAAAGTTAGCTTGACCTAAATAAAGTAATATAGGTCGAACTTTAAAACGTACGTAACGTCCCACGTACATACGAGGATCGATTGATATTAATTTGCAAGAACGAAGTCACCCACAACACATACACATACACACACAAAGACATACACACATATCGTCATGTGTGTTGACATGAAAAACTCATTGACACGGAAATGTGACACACAATGATTTAAAAGTTCGTACGTATTGAATTTGGAAAGATAAGATTTCATTAATATGATATATATATATAGTATGATAGTTTTCTTAAATGTATTGTTCATAAAAACGTCATAGATAGTTTCCACATTTACAGGGACTAGTGATAGCAGGTTTAGGAGACTTGCAAAGGCCAGCCGATAAAATCTCCATTGGGCAGTCTGCCTCATTGGCCCTTACTGGAGCCATTTGGACGAGATATTCTTTGGCTATCATACCAAAAAATTGGAGTCTATTCAGCGTTAATCTTTTTGTTGCGTGTACAGCACTTTATCAAATTACCAGAGCGGTAAAGTAAGTATATATATATA